CGGCACGAAGAGGCCTGCGGCAAGTTCGCCGGCGCCATGCAGGTCTTGGGCTACTGCCCCGAGCTGTCCTACAACATGGCGCTCTGCTCCTACGCCGCCAAGCAGTACGCCCCCGCCCTCAAGCACATCTCGGATATCATCGAGCGCGGCATCCACCAGCACCCCGAGCTCAGCGTGGGCATGACCACGGAGGGCATCGATGTCCGCAGCGTGGGCAACACGCTGCTCCTGCACCGCACGTCCCTAGTGGAGGCCTTCAACCTCAAGGCCGCCATCGAGTACCAGCTGCACAACCTGGAGGCGGCCAAGGAGGCGCTCACAGACATGCCGCCGAGGGCCGAAGAGGAGCTGGACCCGGTCACGCTGCACAACCAGGCGCTAATGAACATGGACAGCCAGCCCACCGAAGGGTTTGAGAAACTGCAGTTTCTCCTGCTGCAGAACCCCTGCCCACCAGAAACGTTTGGAAACTTGCTGCTGCTCTATTGCAAGCACCAGTACTATGACCTGGCAGCTGATGTGTTGGCAGAAAATGCCCACTTGACCTACAAACTGCTCACACCTTATCTGTACAACTTCTTGGATGCCATTATAACTTGTCAAACTGCTCCTGAGGAGGCTTTCCACAAGCTAGATGATTCAGCAGGGATGCTGACAGAGCAGCTGAGAAAACTCACAAAACAGGTACAGGAAGCTAGGCAAAATCGGGATGATGAAGCCGTAAAAAAGGCAGTTAATGAATACGATGAGACTGTGGAGAAATACGTGCCGGTCTTGATGGCTCAGGCAAAGATCTACTGGGACATGGAGAACTATGCGATGGTAGAAAAGATTTTCCGCAAATCGGTGGAGTTCTGTAATGAACACGAGGTGTGGAAGCTCAATGTGGCTCACGTGCTCTTCATGCAAGAAAGCAAGTATAAAGAAGCTATTGGCTTCTATGAACCGATAGTTAAAAAGCACTACGACAACATTCTCCATGTCAGTGCCATTGTGTTAGCTAATCTCTGCGTTTCCTACATCATGACAAGCCAGAATGAAGAGGCAGAGGAACTGATGAGAAAGATCGAGAAGGAGGAAGAGCAGTTGTCCTACGATGATCCCGATAAAAAGATCTACCATCTCTGCATTGTCAATCTAGTCATTGGTACCCTTTACTGTGCAAAAGGAAACTATGACTTTGGCATTTCAAGGGTCATTAAAAGCCTAGAGCCATATAACAAAAAATTGGGCACTGATACATGGTATTATGCCAAAAGGTGTTTCCTGTCCTTGCTGGAGAACATGTCCAAGCACATGATAATGCTACGTGACAGCGTTACTCAAGAGTGCATCCAATTTCTGGAGCACTGTGAACTGTATGGAAGAAACATCCCAGCTGTTATAGAACAACCACTTGAAGAGGAGAGGATGCACAGTGGGAAAAATACAGTTACCTATGAAGCCAGGCATTTGAGGGCACTGATGTATGAGATCATTGGGTGGAATATGTAAACGATGTTCCCCTACCGTAGGCATGAGAACTTTGTACCTGTTATTTGTCTTACACCTGCGTTGATGCTGACCTTGGCAGTCCGTAGTGATAATTTTTTTTTTCTGATTACTTGCATTTAAACATTTTATCCTGTATTTTAGCAGTATGCCATGGAAAATAGAATACTTGCATAACGTTGACATGCACTAAATAACTAGGAGCATTCTTGATAATCAGCCATATCAAATATGCCTTAAGATTTGGGGGCCAAGAACTTCATTACCAAAATATCATAGAACTTCCACCTGTAAAATATTTCATCCTCATGAAATTTTGACCAAGTTTCTTTTCACTGGTTCACAATTAAAAGTAATTTGTTTTCCATCTCTCCTAGCACAGAAATTGAAGAAACAGAGTTGTTTTAATTCTCTAAACTTGTGCATGTGTGTGAAACGTTTCTTGCTTTTCCAAGTTATACTTAATATCTTATAGGCTGTGTTGATGTATATTCTAAACAAAAGACAGCTTTACAATAAAAATCAGTCCTACAAAGATTATCGTGGCCTTTTGCTAACTCAGTAATAACGCCTAAGTATTCTGGCAAATTATAGATCTAATGCAGAGACCGAGAAGGAAAAGATGTATTAACAGTAGGAAAACAGAGCTGACTTTTACAGAAATGGCAGCTTTTTCTTTCTTCCACAAGCACTAGGAAAGATTCCTACTTGTGTGCACTCTAACAAACAGTATGTTATGCCAGCAGGTTAACAATATCCCTGCATATTCAAAAGTAAACCAGAGGATATGTCTCAAGCCTGTCTTCATGGTGTGTCAGTTTAGGACTACCCTTGCAGTAAACGCCATGATGGCTCCACGTAACTAGCCTTTTCTTGGCTTTAGTGCTACCCCTTAGCATCTTAGTGCTAGGGTGTCCGGTGCTACCCCCTCATCTGCTGTGATCCCTAGAGTTTACTTCACAGCCCTGTCTAAGCAGCAGCTGTTGCCCTGTAGATCCATTTGGTAATAAGTACTGCAAGCAGTCCTTGATTTACAGCCTGGCCTGCCCCTCTCTCATTCACATGCCATTCTTAGAATTTACCAGTGTCTGCTAAAAGACCTTGTGAACATACAATTATATTATTTTCTATATTGCTCAAAAAAGCACGCAGTTTCAGTTTCATGTGGGGCTTCTGGCTTCTACTCTTAGATGGAAGAAATCTACTCAGTTTTCTGCTTTCTTACTTTTCTTGCCTCTCCAACGCCCCTCTGAAATCCTCTTTATTTACACACGTTCCTTTTCTTTAGCATCTCCATCGCACTGGCATCGAACAGTTTATATTCTCTACGGTATTCACATATTTTTTAAAACATATTACATGTATGGGTTCCTCACAAAAGCAATTACCTTTCAGTATTTTTACGTGGTCTAGTACTGCTTCCCTGTCTGCCCTCCTTTTTGTGTATTCTTCCTTCTGAAGCAATAGGTGACCTGCAATTTTCTTGAGTCAAGGATCAAGACCTGCAGCTTTAATGCATTTGCTTACCTTTCATGCTGGCTCCCCAAAGTGCTGTCACAGAATCAGAATGCACCTCTTTAAAAATCCAGTTTCTATGCCATAGTTTACCTGGAAAGAGAGAGGATAGCATTTTTTGAAAGTTGCTTTACTATAAAGCAATGGAATACTTAATATTTCCAGAGAATTAGCATGGGTGTACATATATATTAATAGAGAGCGAGTGGGTCTTGGTCTAGCAGCAAGCCTGTAACCATTTCAACACAGAAAGTCAACTCTGCTTATCCCCCGAGCGAGAAGCCTGTTGTGACTGGAGGTGTCCTCTGCAGCTAAAGGAAATGGTTGCAAGTTAGGTGCAACTAACCAAAACTTAAATATGATAAAATTTAACACAGTTGTCTTCAATGTCTGCAAAGGGAAAATATTCTGCTATAGGTGAGACTAAGACACAGGCAGTAATACGTAACAAGGCATTCTAGGAAGGCCTCTGGAGCTTATTACTAGTCCATAAAGCCATCCAGGCCCCCTGTTAGGGAGAATAACATATTTTCCACAACTGCTTCCACATGAGAGAGAGAGACCTGTGATTTCAAATTTTGTTCACCTTCATGAAGCACAGCAGCAGGCTATAAAGTATGTTCCTAATTTACAGTGGAATTGTATTATATATTATGCAGCATAAACAGCATGACCTTTAAAAAAAAGTTTTTAAAAGTCACACCACATAACAGAGAATGAAGCGCAGTCTGTGGGCAATGATCAGAGCTTTGTTTAATATTCATTGCGCGTACTCTGTAAAAGCCAGTGGACGTTTACAAATTTTCACTTTGCAGATTTGTGTCAGTGCAAGCGTTGAATGCCCTCTAAACAATTCAAAACGGAACGGAGAGCAATTTAGAGCTTTATCCACGGCTGGCTGTTGGGTAACGTCTGCATGCTCTAGCTGTTTCCATACAGCCAGCGCACAACATCCGCGGGCGTTGGGTAAGCTGCGTTAGCCACGCTACGCCGCGCTGCATCTCCTCCTCGCCTTCCACAACCATCCGGGGCTCCGCCGCAAGGGGTCTGGTGGCCACGCGGAGGCAGCGGCGCCGGCCGCCTGGGGCTCGCGTTCCCCCTTCCCCTCACGCTCCGGGGAGGGCACTGAGCCCTCGGCTGCAGGGCGGGGAGGGAGAAGAGGGCAGCTGCTTTCCCTGTGCTGTACATCCCTTTCCTGTTCCCTTCAAACGGAGGGGACAAACATCTGACCCTCTGCCGCAGTACAGCCTGCAGAAGCACGAGCAACGCTCACGTCTGCGACACGGCAGCTGCCCAAGCAGGGGGAGCTGAGGACACGCTCTCCTCACGTCTTGTGGCGTTGCCGTGCTTGTGGACGGCGCTGCTGAGAGACCACGAAGGCAAGAGGCTGGGCAACAACGTGGAAACAAGAAGCACTTGCAGCAGATACCCTTTGCCTGTGAAAAGCTCTTTGGAGTTCACGTTAATTCTAGTGGATTTACTGATTTACTGAGTTGCCACTTTCCTACTTGGGAAAAATCCCCATACAAGGAAACGGAGCTCTTCAGCTCTGCAAGATGCGGCCATTTAGAAAATACAGCCAGAGGGCAATCAGCACGACTGGGATTTGCTTCATCCTCTTACACGGGATCAGATCTGTCCACGTACAAACAAAACCACTGGAAACCCCTGGGGAAAATGCCAATAGCAACATTCTCCTTGTTCTTCCCTTATACCATGCTTTTATCTACTTTTTCCCTCAGAATACATTATGCACCAAGGACTGGCCAGACTTAGCTCAAGGTTTCCTAGCAGATTCAGTGATATCGAGCATGGTGACCCCAACGTCACGAGGCCTCTGATGCTAAAAGGAGAGAGGGAAGAGGCAGAGCTGAGAGCCAGCAGGAGGAGACCTGGGACGCGCGCTCCTGCTACTGCCCAGGGATTTGACTGATGCTTCTGAGTTGGGTCTCCTGCCCTTCCCAGTAATATTTTCCCCCTGGTCCACCAAAGCTGTTTGCGCAGCAGCAGCCCACCGACCTTCCCGCGGCTGTGGTGCCAGAACAGCCCCACTGGCCACCATCTGTCCAAGGCAGCTGCCTGCTCCCCTGCGCCTCGAGGGGTTGTGCCCAGGGATTGCGCTGCTGGAGTGCTTTGCAGTATGAAGGTATTGCTGCTTTCTGTGAAAAGCATGCATTTATAGCATCCCCAGCTGCAAAGCACTTTGGTCATGAAAAAAAAATATAAATGTTACAACCAGTTTTATTACTATCTTTATACTGCATTTAATGCTATCACTATGTGACTTACACACAAAATACATTTTTAAAGAAAGGCATATACGTTTTTATTTGGTGAGAAGGGAGGATACCAAATAATGATTTATGCTGCTTAGAAATATAGTAAAATCTGCCTAAATTACCTATACCAGCACAGTTCTACTTTAGTCTATAACCAAAAATTATTGTTTTCATCTAAAAGGACGCAAAAACCCTACACCAAAAGAGCTGATCATCTTCCTGGGCAGTCACAGGAGGCAAAGATCTGGGGGAAAATATGAATGCATAAGCAAGCGCATCAGCTTTTTTGGAGGGAGCGAGGAGAAAGAAGCCAGCACCCCTTTCCCTGCATCATGCTCTGAAAGACCAGCAGCACAAGTGTCCTCTCCTGTCCATCCCCACACGCTCCACCAAACTGAGACCGATCTCCTGCAGGGATTTAACTTGGACTAATGTTCTCTTTTGTACCTTGTCCTTACAGTGCGTCTTGCGCGATGCTCTTGTCCTCAAATCTTACAAGGAATTGCAATGTTTTCCCATTGTCCTGTGCCGCAGGCGACAAGCTGTACTGTACCGTGGTGGGCAGATCTCCCACCTCCCCCAAATTACCCCTGCAGTAATTGCAGCACCTCGCGCACACAAGCGACGGCCCCAAACCACCGTTCTGCCGAGCCCAGAGTGCAATCGCAGGCGAAGCCAGGGAGGACTGAGAAGCCAGGGGCAAGATTTGCTTCCTACCCCCTTCCGATCCCCTTGATGTTCCCAACTCTGTAGTTAATCAAATAGCTGCGGACACCGCAGCAGAGCGGAGGTAAGGGATGCCAGGACCGTTTGTGTCACTCTGCAATCAGAGCTGATCAAAACAGCGCAGCAATCAAGGGATGGCTGACTTTACAGTGACACAAAGAAATAAGACAGAAAGGTTTTATATTGTTGCATAATTCTAGCAAGAGCATGATTAGAGACTTCCTTGGCCAGGATAGGGGTATTTCTACAGGGTAAGCCAACTCCATTAGAAGATGGGAGATGAGAGGAAAGTTACTTCTCTAAAAATGGTGAGGTTCCTCACAAGATAAAGGCTGGTTTTGGCAGCCCATTGCACAATATCTTATTTTGCAACCAATCCCACTTTAGATGCCAGAGTTCAAAACTTCAGTCCAAAAAACCAAACCAAAACAAAGTCCTAGCTCAGCTATTTCATAGGTAACTTATGTTTGATTTCAAAATCCTCCAGTTTTAAGCTGCTCTTGCACACACATGAGAACCAGAGCAGCCCATGCAGCTCTGCATCCACCCACACTTAGACCTCCTTAGGATCTAAAGTCCTGTCTCTTGAGTCTTAGTACTCTCAGTATACGCCCAACACACACCTTCCTCCCCCGCCCCAAACACAACCAGAGGCAGAAATAGTGGTACTTTTTGTATACTATTATGTAAGCTGCCTTAGTGGTTACGCTAGAGCTAGGCAACGAGAGACCTGGATGGAGCATGAGTTCTGCACAGTTTTTTGAAAATCTCAGTTAAAAAAAAAAAAAAAAATCTCACCTTCATGAGAGGGTTCAGGGTTTGGCTCCCAAAGAGTGCAGTGGCACCTCTCTGCTGCCGAAGCAAGGCAAGTCAGTCCCGGAGAGGGGCACGTTTCAAACACAGCTCAGTCTGTGTTACAGCCTATTGTCCAGCTCCAGGTGACTCAGCAGTGTTTTGGGGCCTTTTCAGGGGTAACGGACATGTTCTGCGAGCAGCACAAGGCTCAGAGGAGG